TGGCTTTTTTTTAATGATGAAAAACACACTTGCCTTTTACCACTTACTAAGCTTGTGGATAGAATCCAATGGTGAAACTAAACACAAATCAAGATACTAAGAAACAACCAAGTGAATATCTTCTAAATTAGAGAAACTAGAGAATAAGCACAAGATGAAAAGAGGATATATTCATAACTTTTTTTTTGAAATTTTGAAAAAAAAATAGGAAAGCAAAATTTTCAAATAAAATTAAGCTTGCAAAAGGAAAAACTCCATGTCACAAACAAAAATAGGAAAGAAAAAAATAAAAGTTAAAGAGTCAAATACTCAAAGACAAAAATAGGAAGCTAAATAAAATAGGAAAGTAGCATAAATAGCGAAATAAGAGAGTAGAAAATTTAAAAAGTGCTACCAAGAATTAAGAAAGTAATCAAAGTAGAAGACTTTCTTACCACCCAAATTAACTTTCCTCTTTAGGCAACCTCTTAGTGACTTAGAGTTCAAGAATAGCCTTTTTATATAGTCATGACTCACAGCAATATATTTTTTTTAAAACTTTCAGATTTTTTTCTTTTTTTTCAAGCCACTAATACTTTTTTGCCTTTTTTTGCACGAATTTTTAGGTATTTTTTTTCTCTTTTTTTTAGTAGGCTAATAAAATGAAAACTCACATAAGATGAAAAAGTCACAAAGATGAAGAAGAAAAAAAAATCAAAAGATAAAAGCAGATGAGGTAGATAAGAGATAATCACAAAAAGAAATAACTCAAGATGAAAAATAAGAAAAAATGACAACAATTTGAATCAAAACTAGCAACCAAAGCTCTGATACCAATCTGATAGGGAACACGGAAGCAGAATTGTGTTAGTTTAGGGATAGAACCCTAAACCACAACAAAAACACAAGAATAAAGAGTTATGATGAAAATAAAGAAATGAAATAAATAATGGGATAATAATCAAGGATAAGATCCTCTAAAGTACCTGCCTCTAGGAACCTCAACCTTCAAAAACACTACAAGCATTGATCACGCTTTTGATCATGTCTGTTTCTCACACGGGATGCCACCATAAAGCATTAAGACTCACAAGAGTTATAAACTCAAAAATGAATAATTTCATTCAACTTGTCTTCTTCTTATTTACAAGAAGGAGCATGCCTAATATATATAGGCTCATAGAGAAGACTATTTTCTAAATTTAAAACCCTAATTTCCTAATACTAAAAGAAGAAATAATGTAAAATAATGAAATATTCAGCCACATAATTTAGAAGATGTGATCCTAAAATTATGGGATTACAAAATTTAAAAATTAATAATATAATTAATTATAATCTTTGACTAGACTCAAAATAGGAAACTAAGACTAATCTTGCTACTTAAGAAAGGGAGTCAAATCAAAGGACCATTAAAATAGGAAATAATTTAGGAGACAATCAAGGGATTATAAAGGATTTAAAACCATGCCACCCTTGACTTCTTCACTAGGGTTTCATGCCTCCTTGCTTGCAAGAGGTTTAACTTGTAGTCTTCCTTGCATTGGGCTTAGGTTTGCATCTCTTAGGCTTGACTCTTTATAGATTTGGATCTTAAGCACATTATACATGTATAGATGCTCTCCTTTGGGCTTGAGAGGAGTGCCCCAATGCTTTCCAAACTCTTAAACTTCTTGAACAAGACTAAACAAGGCTTGCTTCATGGCTTTAGTTTGGGTTCTTGTCTTTAGACCTCCACTGTGTTGTAATGGGTCTTTAGGTACATTGGATTGGAAGTATTGGGCTCCTTGCTCCTTGCCTTAGGCTCCTTTCATGTCATCATGCTCATGATTTCCCTCCTCAAGCTTCGTTTCCATTAATTCCATGTCATTCGTGCTATAGGGTCCGTTACCTTCACTTAGAAATGGCTGTGCACTGTGGCATGTGGCACAGCAATTTCAACTCTTCCTTTTCTTCTCCTTTTGATGGTTGAGTAGCTTGCCTCAATATCGGACCCACAACTGGAGCTGAAATACCACCAATTATAATTATTAGACCTCTTTGGCCACACACCACTTCAACTTACTTAATTACCTTGATTAGGTTTAGTTAATTAAAACTCAAGATGTTACAACTCTCCCTTTTTTTAGGAATTTTGTCCCCAAAATTCACTCAATCTAGCAAAGCTAGTAAAACCTTACCTCATAGGAACAAGTAAGGATACTGGTTTTTCATCTTCTCTTTAGTCTCCCATCTAGTATCACCAGAAGTCATCCCTTTTCATATAACTTTCACAAGCTGAATTGTCTTATTTCTCAACTGTTTTTTCTTAACATCCATAATTTTCTTTAGCTCTGCTCGATATGTCAATTTCTCACATAACTCCACATCTTCAGGTTCAATCACTTGTAGAGGGTCAAGTTGATATTTCTTCAATTGAGACATGTGGAATACATCGTGCACACCCTACAAATGAGGAGGTAAGGCAATCCGGTATGCCAAAGGCTCAATTCTCTCAAGGATTTCAAATGGCCCAATAAATCTGGGAGTTAACTTCTTTGCATGAATAAACCTCCAAATTCCAATCATAGGTGTGACCTTCAGAAATATGTGATCTCCCACCACGAGCTCTAGTGGTCTCCTCCTCTAATCTGCATAGCTCTTCTATCGACTCTAAGCAGTCAATAACTTTTGACCAATAGTCTCAATTTTCTCAGTGGTTTGATCCACCAAATTAAGACCCATTATGCTTCTCTCACTCAACTTGATCCAACAAAGTGGCGGTCTATACTTCCTACCGTATAAGGCTTCATATGGAGCCATTTGAATGCTCACATGAAAACTATTATTATAAGAGCATTCCACTAAAGGTAAGTGCCTATCCTAACTGCCACTACATTTGATGGCACAAGCATGTAACATATCCTCTAAAGTCTAGATGGTCTTCTCAGTTTGACCATCTGCCCGAAGGTGATAAGCTATATTGAACTTTAACTTTGTACCCATGGCCTTGTGTAGTACTTTTTAGAAGTTCAAGGTGAATCTCAGATCACGATCTAACACAATTTCTTTTAGCACCCTATATAGCCTCAAAATCTCTTGAATTTAGACCTTTACAAGCTTTTCTAAGGCATAATCGGCTCTAATAGCTAAGAAATGAGCAAACTTGGTCAATCTATTTACAATTACCTAGATAGCATCATGATTCGCCTAGGTATATGGCAATCCCATAAAAAATCCATAGAAACACAATCCCATTTCCACATGGGAATCTCTAATGGTTGTAGCAATCCTGGGGGTCTTTGGTGTTCAATCTTTACCTTCTGATAAGTCAGATATCGTGATATGTACTCTGTCACATCCCTCTTTATACCAAGCCACCACTACCAACTCTTTATGTCTTGATGCATCTTGGTAGTTCCTTGGATGAATGGTAAACTTACTCTGATGAGCCTAGAATGGTCTCTCGAACCCCTTTATCATCAAGTATACATACCTGATCTCTATAGACTACCAACCCATCATCATTAAACTAAAAGTCATTGGTCTTATTTGCCTTAATATCATCTCTAATTCCTAACAGATACTTATCTTTAAGCTAGGCTTTTCTCAAGTCCTTCTAGAATTCATTAGTGATTACCATTGTATTCAAGTTATACACGGCGAAATCTGGACTATTTTGGTGTTTACTAGAGAAATCCTCCAGTAGCTTGTACTCATGGATCATCAACCACGCAACATGTAAGGTCTTGCAACTCAAAGTATCAACCACTACATTGGCCCTCCCTAGATGGTACTTCAACTTGAAATTGTAATCTTTTAAAAAATTCCATCCACTTTTGCTATCGCATATTCAGCTCTTTCTGATCAATTAAATACTTGAGGCTCTTATGGTCACTAAATACCTCAAACTGTAAACCATAGAGATAGTGCCTCCATATTTTCAAGGCAAATACAATCACTAGTAACTCAAGGTCATGAGTTGGATAACTCTCTTCATGCGATCTTAGCTGTCTTGACACATAAGCTACAACTCTATCATCTTGCATTAACACAAAGCCTAGTCCCTTAAGTGATGCATCATTATAAACCACATATAGCCATTTAGGATTTAAAATAGTCAACACTAGTATTATAGTCAACTTCTCCTTTAGAGTCTAAAATGCCTCTTTACACTTCTTTGTCCAGACAAATGGCTGATCCTTCTTCGTTAGCTTCGTCAAAATAGAAGCAATCTGAGAGAACCCTTGAATGAATCTCCAATAATAACCGGCTAAACCTAAGAAACTTCTTATCTCAGTTACTGATGTTGGCCTTTCCCATTATAGTACTGCATCAACCTTGTATGGATCCACTGCTATGCTATTAGCAAAAATGACATGTCCCAAAAATTTCATTTCTTGTAGCTAAAACTCACACTTGCTCAATTTGGCATACAACTTGTGCTCTTTTAGCACTTACAGCACTATCCTCAAATGTCTTATGTGTTCTTCCTCATCTCTGGAGTATATCAAGATGTCATCAATGAAAACCACTATAAATTTGTCTAAGTAGGGTCTGAAGATCCTGTTCATGTAGTTTATAAAGATTGCAAGAGCATTTGTCAGATCGAAGGGCATTACTAAGAACTCATAGTGCTCGTATCATGTCCTGAATGCAGTCTTAGGCACATCATCTACCTTAACCCTCAACTAGTAATATCCAGATGTTAGATCAATTTTAGAGAAAACTGCAGCTCCAGCAAGTTAGTCAAGTAAGTCATCAATATGTAGTAATAGATATTTCTTAATTGTCAGTTTGTTGAGTTGTCTTTAGTCAATGCACGACCTTATACTCCCATCTTTCTTCTTTACAAACAACACAGGCAATCCCTATGGCGATACACTCGACCAGATGAATCCCTTCTCTAGCAACTCTTCTAACTGCTTTTCAATTCTTCTAGTTCTACAGGAGCTATATGATAATGAGCCTTAAAGATTAACTCAGTACTAGGTACTAAATCAATCAAAAATTTGATCTCTCTCTGGTGGCAATCCTAACATTTAGTCATCAAACACCTTTAGGAACTCATTCACTACACTAATTCTGTGAATTCCCTTATCGTACACTTCATGTATAGAACAGTAGATCATGAAAGCTTGATACCCTTCTTTCACTAACTTCTCTACTTGTAAGGCTATCAAGAACTTAGAAGTCCCATAATCCACTACTGACAATGACTTAACAGGTTCAAGGTTAACTGCTGTTGCTGTGTAAACTGATAAGGAGACTGTCTTTCTATTACAGTAAAGTGTCACACCATTGGCAGACAACCAATGCATCCTAACTATCACATCAATGCCACTCAAAGGTAAGCATATAGTGACTCTATCACCAAACTTCAAGTCTAGTTTTAGACAAGCTCGATTGGTCCTCACGAATACACCAATCGGCATAGACACATTCATGGAAAATAGCTTTTCAAGCACATGCAATTTTAGTCTCTTGGTACAATCATTAGATATAAAAGAGTGTGTGGCACCAAAATCAAACAAAGCATCTATCCAATGACCACAAAGAGAGACTATACCTCTAATCAACTTTAGTGAAGCCTTGGCCTCTTCTCTGGCATGGCGAAGACTCATCCTGGGATAATAGATCTCTAATTAGGAGCAGGTATGTTCTCCAAGAAAAACTTGGCTATGTGTCCCATCTTGTTGCATTTGAAGCAAACCCAACATTGCCTTTGGTGATGTTTCCTGCATCTGTTGCACTGTGGAGCTCTAGTTGGCATCACAGGAAATGGAGCTGTAGATCATTACTAGGAAGTCTGATTTCTGACCTCACCCATACTCCTCAAGGCATTGCTCCTCTGGTTGGATCCCCTAGATTATGACCCCTTCTGAAAGCTCTTCTTCTTGCTTCCCCCAGCACTGTACCTCCCAGACATACTCGAGTTAAAACCTAACTTCTTACTCACTCCGCCCATAGGGCCTGTGTAGGAAGAGAATCTCCCTTGACCATCTCTCTTCTTCTCTTCTACCACACTACTCCTTCTGGCTATATCTCTAAACTTGTTATACATAACCTCGAAGGAAGTAATATCAAAGGCAACTAACGACTAACTAAATTCAGGCCTCATCTTATCAAGGAATTGCTCGGCCTTCCAATACTTATTATCGTGATGACTAAGATAGGTAGAGTACTTCAATAGCTCATTGAACTTTGCTATAAACGTCCCCTCATTCATATTTCCCTGCTGGAGTCTATGAAAGTCCACCTCTTTCTTTGCTCAAAATGAGGCTGGGAAGTAGTGTACAAAGAACCACCTCTTGAACTCTATTCATGTCAATTGCGAGCCATCTACCGACCTCATACTTTTCCACCATTGCTTTGTTGCATCCTCAAGCATGAAAGTGGCTAAGAGGATCCTCTGCTCTATCGTATAGGTCATGACTGAGAAGATAGTCTCAAGCCTGTCGATCCACTTCTTAGTTGATCGATCCTCCATAGAACCCTTAAAGGAAGGAGGATTCAATCTCGTGAATCACTTCAAAGTCATATCAATGGAGCCTTCTAACTCACTCATCCTAGGCCATACTAGTCACACCGACCTCTCAGGAATACTTTCCTCATAATAATCCTCGTCTCTATGTCCATAAACCTCAGCATGCACATCATCTCAAGCTTTCTCTTAATCAACCCCAACTCTCTATACAGTCTTGCTACTCTCCCTAGGTCTTCTTCTTAAGATCTCATCACAACCATCCATTTTCCTTTAGATATCCATCATTATACACCTCAGTTCATTCAAGGCATTATCTTTGTTACCCTGTTAAGGTCCTGATTGTTGCTCTTAGTTCACTAGTTCTTGTTCTAATCTTTGCACATTTTCTAGTGCATTTTCTACATTTGTGGCCCTTGTTTGCACTATATTCTCCCCTCTTAAGGATAGAAGCAATCTCAAAAAGGAAAAAAAGGAGTTAGCACTAGCTCGATAAGGGAAATAACAAGTGTAATAGGATATTGCCAATTCTTTATATGCAATGCACAATAAACCTGAACTACTTATTTTAAACACTGTATTTTGTCCGGACATTGTTTTTAATAATAAAAAATATAAAAATAGAAAAATGAAATTTAATCCTGTTTAGGATTATATTTCCAAAAAATAATTGATAGGGTTTAGTTTAACCTAGATAATCTTTTATGGGTTAGGATCTTATTTCTTTTTAGGTCATTAAAAATAACCAAAAAATAATAAAAAATTACAAAAAACAAAATTTAATCCTTTTTAAGATTATATTTTTAAAAAATATAATAATAATAATAATAATCTAACAAAGTTAACAAAAAATAATATAATCTTGCTTAAATCTTTAAAAATCTCTCCCAAATTATCCCACTCATTCAAAAATATTGGAAATCAATTTTTAAGGGTTAACTTTTCTTTCCTTAAATTTTCTTTTTCACTTAAAAATATATACGTGTGTGTTATCAAAAACAAAAGCATAATAAAAATCAAATAAAACTTAAAAAAATAATACAAGAGGGCCGCATCACAGCCCTCAAAAGGGGCTTCGTCCGTGCATGCAAACAAGAGAGCAGAAGGAAAGAAACACCAAGACGAGAGGCACAAACACATGACAAAAAAGGGAGAGCAGAAGAAACAAAAACACACAATAACAACACACACAAAACATACAGCAGCAGAGACACAAAACACACACAGAAAAAAAAAAGCAAAAATGACGTACGCAGAAAAAATGCACAAAAAGAAAGTAGGAGCAGACAGAAAAGACATAAAAAAAGAAAGCCAGAACAGCACGCATGAAAGGAAAGGCCAGCCTCGCGTGCACGAAAAATGTGCTAACAAAACTAGAGTCACAAAGGTAGAAAGATCAAAATGAAAAGTAGAGCAGAGAAAAAAGAAAAAGCACCAGTCATGTAGTAAATCCAGAAATAAAGGAGCTTTCGACACACATAAAAAATGCAGTAGAAGAGAAGGGAAAAGGAAGAATCAGAGCAGGTGAGTAATCATTCAACCCTTCCATTCTCTATATAAGGCTGACTAGGACTGAATGAAAAGGAGGGGGAAAACACAGAGAGACAGGGAAGAGAGGACTGAAGAATGTAAAAACAAAGGTGAGAGAGAAGGAGCTAGTTTTTGCTGGAGAAAAAGTGAGAAGAAATAGGGGCAGAAATGCAAAAAATAGAGCACGAAAGAACATAAGAGGAGAGGAAGAGGAGATCGAGGAGAAGTAAAAAACAGAGACAAGAGAGGAGGTGATGGAGGAGCTTTCTTCTGGAAGGCTGAGAAGGAGAAGAGAGAGACCGAAGGAGTTAAAAAATAGAGGCTGAGAGAGGAAGAAACAGAGATGAAGAGAGGAGAAACAGAGTCAGCTGAGATACCAGCACTGGAGAGTTTTCTGAAAAGAAAAAAGAAGAAAGAAAATGGAGAGGAGGAAGAGGAGACTAAGACGAGAAGGAGAATTTTCTAAAAACAAAGAAAATAAAGAGGAGGAGGAAGAGACCAAGATCAGAGAGGGAGGAGTTTGCTAGACAGAAGTAGTGAGATAGATCTGGGACGTGCTACACCCAAGTTCTTGTTTCTAAATTTGAAATGCACATGTCTGATTTCTGTTTATTATTCCAAAAATAAATTTCATGTTTCAATATCTGTCCCATATTTTTTAGCTTTCAAATGAAAATTGCGATTGTCATTTTTCAAATAAAAAATAGATAGTGTGAAAAAGAAGGATAAAGAGATTGCAAATAATAATTTTTGCTTGCTATCATAACTAATTTTAATTTCATTTTAGGCATAATCTCATTTCAAATCATGAAAGAATTAGTGCAATTATTAGGCAGGGTCTTTAAATATGTTTTTAACATGAAAGGGCATATTAATATGAATGGACATGATTTTTTTTATCTCTATTAGTCCTAAGGTCCTTTACTTGTCAATAATATTGTTACACTCATACCGTATGGCACTTTCTATCAACATGTATGATTTCAATCATTATGACGAGCCTATTTTATAAAAGGTTGAGAGGAAAGAATTTGATTCTTATCTAAAAAATGAAATGAATAACAAAAAATTTCTTTTATTTTATCAACTTGCCGTGTGAGATTTTAAGAATTTCCACAGGCATTTAAAATGATCTTGTACCGTGTAAATCAATAAGATTTTACAGGTATATATATCCAATTTACATAAAGTAAATAATAGTTTTAATGACCCACTGTTAAAATTAACTATCTTTTATAGTCTAAGTAATTTATTTAAGTTCCATGTGAGATTTCAAGAATTTTCATAGAGACTTAAATTAATCACATTATTGTGTGGGATAATAAGTCCTCATGGATATAGTGATTTTTAATTTTTATAATAAATAAATAATTTTTGTAAATAATCATATAATACACAATTTAAAAAATTAATTAACCAAATTAATGCATTTAAATTGTAATCATATTCACCGATTATATTTTTTTAGTCATGTGAGATTTTTAAATCTCCATAGACTTCTAAGATAATTATATTATTGTATGAGTCAATAAGACTCTACAGATATAATGATTAAGTTTTTAAAATATATATATATATATATATTATATTAAATTAATTAAATTAAAAGATGTATTTAAATAAATTTAATTCCTTTATCGTGTGAGATTTTAGAATCTCCATAAATATTTAGGATAATCATATTACCATATAAGCTAATAAGGCTATGCAGGTATGATGATTAAAATTCTTTAAAAAAACACATACATACATACTCAAACAAATTATTACTAACACTTAAAAATATAAATAAATTAAATTACTAAATTTTTTTATCATGTGAGATTTTATAATCTCCGTAGATATTTAGAACAATTGCATTACCATATGAACTAATAAGGTCCTACAAGTACTGCGATTAAATTTTCAATCATAAAACATAAAAGAAAAATAATTTGAAACTCTTTTCTTTTCTTTATTCCAAAAAATTCAAAAATTGAGAAAATAATTAAAATTAAATTACTTTTTGCAATTTAAAACACACACATCAAAATTTTAGAAACTGTTTTATTTGCAAAATAGTGAATTATTTCTAATTAATTTCTCTTTAAAAAAATATTTTCACCAACCACTTTTAAACCTAAACTACGTGGACTTTGATCCCCATTACAGGGTACGTAGGCCTCAGAGTCGGATTCTAAGTCAAGTCCTCCCTCATAAATAAATAAATATTTCTCACTTAATTTTATCATTTTTAAAACACATGAATATAAAAGGGTAAAATAATTTTAAAACTATATTAATATAGCACAACAAACTTCATATAACCGTTCTCACAAACAGGTGTTATGGAGTACCTAACACCTTCCCCACACTCAACTGACTCTCGTACCTATTCTCAATTTTTATAGACTATCCTTATCCTTTCTTTAATTGGTTTCCTGAGATTTACCTCAAAATTTTGGTGGCGACTCCTCATTTGATCCAGTTCCCACTGTAAAGGTTGAGACTTTCGCTCGCATGCCGTCCGTGTAGCATTTTTTTGGGTACGACAGTTGGTGACTCCGCTAGGGACAGTTAGAGAGTCAAGCCTATAATTCTTTTGTACTCAACATATAATATGGTTTTTTT